CCACCAGGAGTATGAGACTGCCCTCCTGAGGCTAGTGGACTGCTCATGGAGTGTGGAATGTCAGGTTTCGGAGTTGGAACGAGGGGTCTTTTCCTTGGAGCCGGGCCCAGGGCTTCGCTTCCAGTGGCCGCAAGCGCTTTGTGCCGGAGTTGAGGTTGACGTATGCTGCTTTTGGAGAGGCTCTAGGTCACTAGGGGATGGGTCTTGGTCTCTCCCTGCCCTTGAACTGAAGCCTCAACTGGAGCTTCCGTCTGTTTGTTTCTTCCCTCTCTCTCTATCTCTCTGGGCTTGTTTCCGATGCTGGAGAGGACTGGGCGGCTTCGGAATCAGTGTTGTGCTGTTGCGCTTAGCGCCCCGAACATGTGCCCAACTAGGACCAGCAAACGCGCGTTGACGACCCTCAATCTAAATCCCCGAGACCTAAACTCACAACCCAAACCCGGTCTCTCCAAGTCGTGGGTACGAGCCTAGTAGGCTTGTTGTGTTGAGGGGTTGGGGTTTCAGGTCATACTGGTTCAGGATGTTGGGCGTTCTAGGTCTCGGATGAACTCATTAAGTTTTAGGAGTCAAGGACTTCCAGCTAAGCTGTATACGCAATTTCTGGCGAAGGTCTCTTAGAGCCTCCAAGGTCCCAGCGGCCCTAGCTAGACTCTGTACCCGGAAGCGGCTTGGTAGTTGTTTTACTTGCTGCTCCGGGTTTACGGCTGGGGCGAGGCGTCCTTACGCTTTCATCCAGACGCTGGCTTCAAGTTTTGTGTTGAGTAGGGCAGTGTAAGACAAGATCGCACGTTTAGATCTTCCGGAATCCGGACGGAAAAAGCGACCTCAGCACTGTCGACAAAGAGCGATTGAGTTTCCTCAGACCGAAATCGCGCAACTTGAACAAACCAAGTGCTCTAATCCCTAGTTCCCTACAAGCTCTACAACCCTGAACATTCCAAGCCTCCAAAACTCTTAGAGCCGACGCCCGAAGGTTACAGGCGGGCAACAAGGTCTTGATCCTTGAAGAGACCCAGGTTCTCCATCCGATTCGGCTGCAGGGTTGAAGGTTTTCGGTTGCCCCTAGACGCCATGGCCCTAAACCTAAGCTATTAGACTGAGATTAGACCCGAAGCCGTGTATAACCCGAAACCTTTCAACCCTAAACCACTCGATGTTCCGGACGCCCTGGCTCATGTTCGAACTCCAGGGTTGAAGGCTCCAGATGAGGAGCCTAAGATACACGGTTTAGGTCTTCCGGGTTTCGTGCATCGGGATCCCCAAACCCTAAAACCCTAAAGACGAAGGCCCCAAATCTCTGGTGCATGAGGTCTTGAGCCGGCTTGCTTTGGCGTTTCGTGTTGAGGGAATTGCCACAGAAGCGGGATTCGAAGGCTCAAATGGAGAGACTTCATATGGGATTATGGCTGTTTAACCGCTTAGCTTTTGGTAGACCTGTGGCGTGAGATTATTGGGTGCTTCCAGATGTCCGAATCAAACCTTGTAAGTTCACTAGGCATTGCACGCATAAGTTCCTCCCATGTCTGTAAAGGAGGCCCAGTTTAGGCTTTTGGATTTTGGATGTGTGAAGGGGAACGCACTGGTTACGAAGAGAACCAATACCCAAACACAGCTGAACACTCAAGCACCACTGCGTAGCAGCGTTTTCGGAGTTTGGACACCAAAGCGAGTCTTCCTCATTGCACCTTGTGAACATGAGACCACCGGGCTGTTTTGAAATCATGGGTTTCCGAGACTTCCTGAACTTACCCACTGCATCCGGAAGGGGGTTTCATTTCAGGAGACTTGACGCGGGCTTAGCTATTTTCACAGGGGCTGCGGCTGGGTGGCTTAAGGCTTTTGCCACGGAGACCTCTCGAACTTGAATGGAGGGCGTCTACATAATACACTGTATTGCATTACATTTTCGGAACGTTGGTGCTTGGAACTTGACAACCTGTTCTGCGCATCTGTAATCCAAAGACCCTGCGGCTTGGCGGGCAGTTCTTGATATTCGAGTGTCCCATGAATTCCAGGAGGTGACCATCGTGCAGTGAGCACGACATCTGAGTCGCTGCGTTGGGAGGTCCAGTGCCGCATAGGTCTTGAATAGCCCATCCAGTCCACTGACCCGGTTAGTGACCTGATCGTACGGTTGAACCCATTTGTTTGAGTGCAACTCCACGCAGGCAGCTGAACTTTACTAGGCGCTACTAACCCTGCAGCTTAATGTGTGCGATTCCTCATGCCCCGCAAGCAATCCACTGACCAGAAGTGCATCCAACGTTCGTCTCAAGAAACCATGCAGGAGTCAGGGTTCGGGTGTCTTGATTTTGGAGTTTGAACTGACGGTTTGGGAATGCGGCAGACATCTACTGCAGACGATTCGTACACTCGCTGCGAGTGTCAAGGCTATATAGGGGAAGGCAGCAGCGCGTGCGATGCTTTGCCAAGCTCTGAGCCCACACCCAAAGGCCCAAAGAGTACGAACTAGGGAGACGCAAATCGGAACACACGCTGCTGCACGTGGCTTTGAGGTGCAGGAGCCTGGTTTGTCCCTTATTCTAGAGGGCTTTGCACGTTCACTTGGCATTATGTGGGGTCCTGTGGGTCTTCGTACGAATGCATACGTGGGGGATTGTGAGGACATTCTTGCGTCTATTTCCATAAGCGGTTGCAGTCGGAAATCGCGGCATGAGCCGCTTGAGCGACGTAAACGTGGACGCGAGCACTCGCCAGCAATAGGAGTGTTGAGGCCAAGACCTCGATCACATGTTGAGCCTGGCGAGAACTGAGACCGGAACATACCATGACACTCATAATCACAATCGTTTTGCGTTGTAGGGTGGTAAAACGGGAAAGACTCATGCAAGCTTAATAAAGGTAAGCAGGTAAAGGAGACATGTACAAGCACCTACTGATGTTATGTCGACACGTCGAAGACAAAGCGTGGGATACCGTTGACGACGGCAGCAACACGGTCACGGCGAAGACGACGACGAGGCGTTGCAATGCTGTCGTGATCATATGGGAAGCCAGTCTGATATGTTCGGTGGACTGCATAAGTTTAAGGAGAGATTCACTTTCGACCCGAGGCTCCTGCAAGTCCAATCCCGCATCAATGAGTTGATGTGGGCCTGTTTTATTCAACTTTTTGTTGACTGAGCAGAACCTTTTCGGTTGAGGGTGTAGGCTAGTGTGGTTTAGGTTCGTAGTTGTTTGACATCATGCTGTGCTTCATCCTGCACAGAGCAGGTCTGATTTATCTCGTGCTGCGACGGGGTTCGCCAGTTGCGAGATTTCCCAAGGCGACAATGCCCTGCGGGCAACTCGAGGAAAAGTCAACCCAACCCTGGTGAGACTTTCAGTTTGCATCGAAGGGCTTTGTATCTGCAAGTGCACGTCCTTAGCCCTGAGCCGTCTAGTGAAGGCGCGTGCTCGGAAGATCTATGTATGTTTGGCTTTCGGATACGCTTTCGGGGAACGGTGGGGAATTACCTTGTGGAGCGGACGTCCTTCCGCATGGGCCGACTGTTCTCGCAGTGCTGCTGTTGTTGCTAAGCAATCTTGTCTTGTGCCGTGTGCATATGTTAGCGTTTTTGACATAGAACGTGTGAGTTTCGGTGCACCAACAGACACCCATCTAAAGTAATCCGTTCCCCCTATTATTAAAGTAATATTAAAACTCGGATCTGGGGTTTTGTTTTAATATTATGGGGGTTTCGGGGTCACACGGTCACACACCACGACCGCTTCCCACGCAGCCGTGAAACCCTAAACCCCTAAGCCCTAAACCCTAAACCCTGAACCCTAAACCCTAAACCCGAAGAACAACCCCCCAAGTATTAAAACTCCAAACCCTAAACCCTAAACCCAACACCCTAAAGCCTTAAACCCTAAACCCTAGAGCCTTAAGTAAGCCCTGAACACCAAAGCCTTAAGCCCTAAGCTTTAAACCCTAAAGCCTTAAACCCTAAAATC